TGTTACAAATGTAGATCTAGACCAATCAAGCATCAGATAATATCAGATGTTCAGGGGTACTCACATGACCCCAACTCTGAATGTATAAGAATTACACAATGCATACAGATTGTGGAAACCTCAGCATTCAGTCTTCTAGTTAGAGGGTCTCTACATTCTACACACAACTCCCTCTTATTAATTGCAGGTATCAGATCTACTTAGCTCTTTTGTATCTCTTTCTGAGAAAATCTACATAATCTATAATTAGTTCTTCTAACATTCTGAACACTCCAATATACAATTGCCTAAGTCAGTACAATACTATCAAGACTCACAAGATGAACCACAACAGCACTCCACATTACAGATCTGACAGAGATAGATATTAACATGAAGAAAACAAACATTGATAAAGATGCTGGTAGTAGTAGAGCCACCACTAACAAAATACCAGCAAATAATACAGACAACTAGAGTGGTATCTGGTTCCAGGATTTTCTGTCCTGGTCCCAGATTCCTGTCCCAATTCCTGTCCCAAGAACAGGATCAGGTTGAAGCTCAGCTTAATGGAATGGGACTGAGTTGTTTAACAGCATATTGAGACAGTTCTGTGGGAACTGGGATTGGGATGGGATTAGGACTGGAATCAAAATCTAGCTAGTAGAAGAGGCCTGGGACCTGACATGACAAAATGGGATAGAACCAGAATTTTAATATTGTATATGGAACAGGACCAGTAAAGTGTAGAATGGGACCAGAAACTCCAGTTCCATTTATGTTGTCAAAAAGTAACAAAATTTGGTAATGATTCTAACATAATTTTATCAATTTATTCAACTTCAGAAAAGTACTGAAATTTGATAATGCTCTTTGCATAATTGAATTATATTGCAAGCTATTAGCTACTTGAATCTATCTATTGATAACATTGACATATTTTCTGTTTCTCATCTGGATTGAGTAGTGGATTTAGCAGGCTTGCAATCTCTTTCTATACAATCTCTGGAGTATCTTGATCATCTTGATTATCTTGAATGACTTTCTTGGCCAACTTCTCATGCAATATGAGTGCTTTATCTAGCATATGCATCTTATCTCCATGTTTAAGCAGTATGATCTTCTTGATTATAGATGCATGGAGCCACAATTGTCAATAATAACATGTATTCTGAGCAATATTGAAAACCTGTTCTATTCCAATCTCTGTTAAAGATATACTCAGAATGTCTCTTGCCATCTGAGCAACAGTTAGAAAATCAGACTCTAGCATTCTCTACTGTTCCAGAATTGGAGCTTGAGATAATGTCAAATTCTCATCATTTAAATATTGCTTCATTTCATTTTGGAAATTTGCTTGTCTTTAATAGAGTCTCTCAAAAATTATTTGCTCAATATTCTAGAGAAGTTAGCAGAGAAGAAATCAGAATAATACTTATAACAAATATACATCATTCACATCAAGTATTACTTCTCTTGGCTGTTCATATTTCTCATAATACTTTTTGTAAAATCTCAAAATATATTGTTGGTATGTTTCATGCTCATCACTGGCCCAATTCTCTGAATCATATGCTTTTATGTGATGTGATAGATGGAGAGCAGCAGCTACAGCTAGCAGCTCACTCTTTGGATGCTTAGTATCACTATAGTATTTCTGGAATTTCAAGTTGGCAGCTTTGATAGCTTCTTGAATATTTTCTCTTGTTATTAACTGTTGGGTCTTGTTCTTCTCTTTTTCTAAATACTGGAAAAGATAATTGTATATTGTTCATATCAGATAAATTGTTGAATCTGTTGTTTTGAACAGTATCTTGATAAATCAACTGAATAACTGTAACAGTTCAACTATATACTTTAGCTGCTTCCAGTCATGGTTCAATAAGTGAAGTCTTTGGTATTTTGGTGATGAGTTCTAAATCTATAAGTTCACAGCTTGTTGAAGCAACAAGACATAAACACACATCTTATAGATGGAATTCCATCTTGTGCAAACATCTTAGATTATCTTGCACTGGTTCTCTTGTTAATATTCTTGAAAATGTGCAGCAAGTTGAGAGGAGATATTGGTTGCATTGATAATAAGACAAATCTATTATCAAGCAAAGATTAGTAAATCAACTCAAGTATATCAAGACTGTTACCAAATTTTGTTACCTTTCTAAGAGTATTTGCAAATATGTCTGTTGATGCTAGATCATCAGTAATTGAGCTCTTATCAAAGATAGTGGATAGAGTATCATTGTCTGGCTGAATCTTGAGATTGCAAACCAGCTCTCAAATCACAAGTTGAATTATATAAGCAAGACAGAGTATTGTTTTACTCTCTGCATCTTAATCAGTTATCTTGTTCAACTGCTACAATGCTGATCTTAACTGATGTATAAGATGTGCTTGTATAATACTATTATTTGATATATTGTTACTTGTAATTGCAAGAAGATTACTCTCAAGTCTCTATACTGCTAGTGATTATTGAAGAATCTCTGCTATATTCTTGCCAGTATAAGTACTCTTTAAACTTTTAAAACTCAGTAAATGCTCATGGTACTCTCAATTCTTTGTAATGTAATAACCATTAATTGTCATAAAGACAAGGTTATTGGGACTTGTCCAATTATTCACTGCCAGAGATATCTTGATTATTGAATTATAATTAAAGAGAAGATTTCAGAATAGCTGATTGTACATATTATTTATAACCTGATATAATGTTTCTTGTATGAATATCTGTAAAGCCATTGCAGGATTGAGCATGGTTATTAATATGCAGAAAGCTAGATTCTCAATAGCATGAAATAAGAGATTTAAGAATATTAATGTTTGCACAAGCTGCTGGAGAAAATTATCTTAATTATATTCAGAAACAAGCAGATCTGAATCTGTTCAAGAACACTTCAGAAACTGTTACTAAGATATCAGAACTGTTACTAAAATTTATTATATTTGGGAAATTAGAATCCATGATTTATTATCATGTTAATCAGAATATTACTCTATCTGTTATCAGTTTTTGTACAATCTTTGCTTATTAAATGCTTCTTCAGACCACTTGTACTGTTTCAAGAAAAATTTGAATGACTGAGAAAGATTTAGCAATGCTTGTAAATTATCTCTGAAGTGCTCTTAGAATGCTCTGTCATCTGATTAAATTTTGACCAAAAATCAGAATGATGTTGCTTTATCTTTCAGTTAGAGTCACCATACTTCTTATCATTAATTAACTGAGCAGCTTCAGTAGTCAATCACCAAGTAACAAACAACTTATAATGCAGCTTCTTTCACAATACAAATTGTTTTTTTCTATATTGAACTATGGTCAATTCTGAAGAAATCTCTGTAGATTTTGCTTGTTTGCTGACTTCAGTTATTAGATTTTTCTTTTTTTTTTTTTTTTTTTTAATAATTAAATTGATTTTTCTCTAAGTTCTGTCTTAGTTAAAAAAGTAACAAAATGTGGTCAGAGCTCACACAAAATTTGATAATCTCTAGATAGTTAGTCTTATTTTACTCTGTAAGTACAGTAACTAACTACAAAATCTTCTTCTTCTACAAAATGAAACATTCTTCTTCAGGAAAATAAAATATTTTGCCAATTTAATAGCACTCTATTCTTAAATTAATATGAAAAAAGAACTAAAAATCAAACTTTCTTCTCTAGATATTAATAATTCAATCATTCTCTATCTCATTGTTCTTCTCATCATTCTTATTAGAGAACACCACAATCTTAAAATTATCTTTCTTCATCTTTTCTGGAGCAGATAGACTGTTGTTGTCTTTACTCAGACTCTGTAATTAGCTCAGAAATTCTCTCATCTTCTTCTCAACCCTCTCTCTCAATATACTGACTGCAGCAAGATAATCATGACCATGAGCCATGATCTTAATCTCAAGTCTGGCTATCATTTGGCAGAATCAGATCTCTTTATATACAGCAATAGAATGCTGTATCTGACTTGTTTTAGTCTAAATATATCAGAATTATTATTAAATTTTATTACTTTTGGATTCTATCTTTTTTTTCTGCTGAGCTTCATTCTTGATCTCTGTAATCTCTTCTTAGCAATACTTCTTCTCTTTCTTTCTCTTCTTTTACTGAGAGATTATAAGCTGGTGCTTATAGTACTTCTTTAACTTGCTCTTGGCAAATTACTTGATTATTAACTCTTCAATAACTTTATCTTTAATTATCTTGTGATTCTTCTTGCTGCTATTCTGCCTGCAATGAATATTAATATAATTCAGCACAAACTACTGAGAGTGCATACCACTCATATTTTGCTTGAATTCTCTTCAGCATGTTATAATGTGCCTTGTGATCTGTCTCTTCTGTCTTGAATATATCTTTTTAATAGACTTTCAAGGCCTGGTGGTGCTCTTATGCTATACAGGTCTTCTCTCTTATTGAATATTGTTTTGGCCCCATCTTCACAATTGTATGCAATGAGTTGAATTGCTGGCTACAGAATAATGAGATTATAGAATATATTAATCAAGTACTTGCATAAAATGGTTACTATACATATTGTTTACATTCTACAAACATGTTGCTATAGGCAAGCTCAACACATTGTTGCTATACTGGCTACAGAATAATAAGATTATAAAGTGTATTGACCAAGTACTATAGAATGATTACTATACACATTATTTACATTCTACAGGCATGTTGCTATGAGCAAGATCAACATATTGTTGCTATGCTAGCTACAGAATAATAATATCAGATCAGTCTCTCTTTTCTTCTCTTTCTCTTTCTCTTTCTCTTTTTCTTCTTTCTCTTCAGAGCTAACATTAATGATTCTCTTCCTCTCTCTCTCACTATCTTTTTATTTACTGTACTTCAACATTCACATGTATAACAAACATATACTGCAACAAAATAAGTCATATTAAGAGATGAGTGCTTGCAGAATACTGCTCTGGCACACATTATTTACTGATAAGATGTTAGTTTTTCTCATGCATGTCCATTTTTGTACAGCTGGAGAGAAGCAGCACAAGACCATATTGAAAGAATGGGCCCTGAAGAAGAGCAATTAATGTAAAGTTAATAAAGATGTTGATCTGGCTAACTTTAATCAGAAGAATCTCCACCCCTGCCTCTCTGTTTAAAATTGGAAGGCCAGCACTTGTATGTCAAAAAGTAATGATTTTTAGTAACAGTCTTAATACTAATTGATGAAAATAGATGCCATCAAGAAAATCCACCACTTTCAGAGCTCTATCAAGCTAATCTTGCCAGTGGTCTTATTTCAGTAATTGGTTCAGAAAATTACTTTGTTCTGTTATCAAGAATATGAATATTGCTGGCAATATACTGTTATTAAGTTACTTCAGAAGATAGCTAAAGTAATCTTGTACACTTTATTTAAGTGTAAGTCATTCTTAGCAATGGCACCAATAATTATACTGAGTAATATAGACTCTGTTATGGCAATGGCACACTGTAAGCATATTATGATCAACACCAATAATATAAAGCTTGTTCTTGATATCAGTATCAAAATCAGGTCAAACTATTTCAGTCTAATTGATGCATTTGATTGCCCTGCCCCTGCTACCACCACTCACCACCTGTGTGCTGCTCCTGCCCTACCAACTACCACTGCCATCACTCCACCACCACCACCATCACCCATCACCACCTTCCTGCCTTTCCCTGGTGCTGTCAGGGTCTCCACCCATCAAATAACAGGTATTAGAGCTCCTGTTCAGTTCACAAAGCCAGTTCTGGAGAAGCAGAAGAAGAAGAAGGAGAAGAAGAAGAAGAAAAAGAAGAAGAAGAAGTGAAAGAAGAAGAAGAAGAGAGAGAAGAAGAATAATAATGATGATGAAGATGATAATAATAATAATTAACTTATCATTTAGACAGTTCCTGTTTGTTTACTAGCTTCAGTTATTAGTTAATTTTAATACTTTGTTTCTTTTGACAATCAAATTGATTTTTCTATGGGTTCTACCTTCATCAAAAAAGTAACAAAATTTGGTAACAGTTCACACAAAATTTGATCAGTTTGACTCTTTCCTATAAATTTGACATGATGGGACTGGGAATTCTGATCTCATCCTGGTCTCACTATGGACCCAGCTGGGATAGAAAATGGGAGTCTACCATCTCTGCTGGGATGGAATGTGGGACATAATTTTCTATTTGAGAATGGGACCAGGAAATAATTTCTGGAATAGAGATGGGAACAGGATCTCAAGCTCTTGAGTGGGATGGGACATGAGACTGAGATTTCATATTTGGGATTCCAGCTGTTTCTAAATTTGGGACCAGAACCAGGTTCAATGGGAAATGGGATCCCATCCTGGTCCCAAATACCAGCCTACAGACAACAGAGATGTACTTCTCAATACATCAGATAAAACTCAAAGAAAAGAGATCTTTAAAGAAAAAAAACACATCTACAAAAGAATCTAGCAGACATACATGAATAAAATAAAATATACAGACTGCAAAAGCAGATTAAATATAAATAAAAACTAGCAAACAATAATTTTCTCTTAGAGTTTCTCTTACACATATAATCAACAGAGAAGTCAGATAATTTTAAAAATGTGAAGTTTTTAAAGATATCTTATTATCATGATAAATTACTTAGCAAGTGCAAATTATAATTAGCTTCAATAAGACAGCAATTTCATCTGAGGAAATTACTACAAAAAATATCAGATGTAGTTAGAATTAATTAAGTATTCAGTTATTTTCATGATAAACTTCAGATGTATTAGCAAATGCTGGGGATAGAAAAAGAACAACTACTTATATTATAGAACAAATTCAAGATGTGGTGTAAAAACAACATTAAATCTGAGATAACTCATAGTTAAGACATAATGCAGCATTATCATGATATCATTCAATAAGAGAACTAATTCATACTCTTATTTTTCATATATATTACTGAACTTGAACAGAATTTGAACAGTCTATCAGATAAATTCTTTCACATACTCTTTCTACAGATTATTATTATTATTATTATTATTTATTATAGTCTTATGCAGTCAGTGACTATGAAGACTACCTAACAGCTTCTCTGTTAGGATTTACTTAGTATACATTGTAGAAACTGAATAAAGGAAAAAATTCAAAGTATTTCAAGACAATATGAGATGTTCTTTCTCCACAAAAGTCAAATAGCAGATAGAGCATAATATTAATTTTAAAGAAAAATAATAATTCTTGTAGCAATGTGATACAAATCAAAAAGAAATAAAATTAGCATATTTGAGAAAGCCACTGTCTAGTAGCTATTCCAGTATATTTCAGAAATAAAACTAGCTATTTTAAGCCTAATTCAGTTTCAAAAATAAAATTTAAAGATAGTTAAGAAATATCAAGTTCTTGTTGAATTTTTCTTCTTTCAGTATAATAAGCTAAGCAGTCTAATAGTAGATGCTTTGGATTTTCAACACAATTACAGAAATAGCATAAATTAGAAGAGTAGTATTAGGAGAACTGGTCATAGGTCACATAGGTTTATCTGAGCTTGTATGCTTTTCCCACACAAAATTGTTAGTCATGTGACCAGAGGGTTGCTTTTTATTTGGACGGATAGATCATTCTTAGATAGACGAGTCAGACAAGAATGAATATTTCGTCTCCCTACTACGGAGTAGATCGCATCTAGTTTGACAACACCCCATACCACCTGCACGCCTTCCGACTGGTAGAATTGAAGCCAACCCGCCCAGCCGACGTTTCACCAGATGCCGCTCCGGTTACGTACGCAACACCCGCTGATTGGCCGCCCAGCAGGTCCCCACCCAGGCTAAGCTTTTCCCGTGACGGATGAGCTGAGGCTTGACCAATGGCTGGTGTGGCTGAGGCCCCGCTTATCCCCGTGGCTGCCAGCTGGGATACCTTGGTATGCCTTTTTGTCGAAAATAATGCGGGTTCACCGTGTCTGTCATTGCGATGTGCTCTGCTTAAAAAAAAAAAACGAGGTGCCCAGGACATTGCCTGCCCCTCTCCCCCCTTTGTCTCCCGTACAGCTTTCTTCCTGTCTCCCCGATCCCATGCCGGTCTTTCCCGGCACTCTCTCGTTCTTCCAGGTTCACTGGTTGTTTTTGAGGCCTCCTACATCAGGTTTACTCCTCTAGTTGAAGCAAATCGTATGGCTTCAGCCCATCATAATGCTGTTCGCTCCAGGCAAGCGTCTCATAGCTCAGCTTCGGCCGTGGAGGAAACAATGGATCACGACTCTCCTGCTGGGGGTTTTGATGACACGCCCATTCCCGATGCTCCGCCTGGGTTCACCCTCAAATTCACCATTCATCGAGCCCAGAATCTCCCTTTGGGCGACTTTGGCTCCATGTCCTCAGACCCTTATGTACTTTTGATTCTCAACACGGATCTGGCCCGCCGCCACCCCCAGGATCCTGATATAACTTTTCGCACCCCTACCATCAGGAAGGATATCAATCCGGTTTGGAACTGCGAGTGGATCGTCGCCAACGTACCGGCGTCTGGGTTCCACCTGAAGTGCCGGGTATATGATGAGGATTTTGCCGACCACGACGATAGACTGGGTACCGCATACATCGACGTCGATGGCATCGATGAGAATTGGAGCGGCTTCAAAGAACAGCATTTTAAGGTTAGGAAAAAGACTGGCAGTAATAGGGCGTATTTGCTACGGTCCATAGCAGCAACCTGCTCCAAGAACTTCAGCGTTAAAGGAGAGCTTATCGTCAGCGTCGAATGTCTGGGTAAGACCCCAGGCGATCAAGGCGGACATATGTATACCATCGGCCCCAACTATTGGACCCGTCATTTTTCTCCCATGATTGGGAGGTTGGTGGGAACAAAGGATTCCGTCCAACCGGGGACAGGCAAAAAACCTATCACCAAATATAAGTAAGTGCTCAACATCCTAGTGAGCATTTCTTTCTGAGGAGGTATTGACTGTTTCTATCGGCAGCTTTCAAGCAATTCAAATTCAGTTGACGGGACCAGTACCTTGGAGACTGTATCATCGATATGTCGAATTTAAACCGTTTGTTGCCGGGATGTTTAACGGCCAGAGTATACGTGGACGCCTCCTGAACCACGCCCTGCACCATCAACACGCTAGAATATACAATTTCGATCGATCCACCATGCATGGCATGTTCCCCTCGCCATGTATCGAACTCGCGCAGCAGTTCCTGGAGTTTGTGCACTACGATCAAGGCGGTAGAATTTTCACTTATGTCCTCACATTGGATGGGCAGTGGCGGTTTACCGAAACAGGAAAAGAATTCGGAATCGACTTACTGAGCAAACACACTATGCATAGTGATGTATCTATATATATCGCTTATTCTGGCGAGTTCTTCGTCCGTCGAGTACATCATCACCACCACCACCACCATCACAATCGCCGTCACAGTCATAAAGAGAAAGCCATTGATTCAATTGTGCCTGATGGTGGAAACAAACAAACCGATGCAGCTCCTAACAGATCACAAGATTCTGTGATTGTTTCAATTGACCCTGCAGATTATGAGCTTGTAATAGACAATGATAGCGGAACATACCGACCAAATGCATCTCTGCTGCCATTACTGAAGGAGTTCTTGGAGAAAAATTTGCCAGGACTTAAGATAACCACCCTGGATTGCCAAAAAGATGCAGAGGAAATGAATAAATTGAAAGAAGAGCAAAGAGAGCGGAAGAAAGCTACCGGCAGGCACATTGCGTATCTCCAACGACGAGTAAGCTCGTCATCATCGTCAATCTCGAGCTCTGATGAGGAAGAGCTCGAGCAACGAATGGGCCAAGCGCCAAAACATAAGAACCCACTTGCCCAAAAGCTTCACTGGATGATGGACCCCAAAGCGAGATATAAAGAGTGGGTGGTTACGGGCCATGTAGGCCGATCCCCTGTGGCACATGAACATTTTCAATCCTGGCCGATGGATACACAACATCACCCCGAAACTGGAGAAGCGTCCCGGCCCGCACAGCCGCCCCAGCCCGCAAATAATTGATAATAAAGACCGAGAGTTTGAATTGTGGTGGCTATGTGCTTCCATATTTGAAGTATCTCTGGAAGATGAGTTGTGTGTGGATTTCGACAACTCATGGCGAGGAGTTTGGGTTTGGTTAGTTAGGATGCCGATGCGAAAAAGCGACACGGATAGTATTTTTGGCCTCGAGAAACTCACAGAAATTCCAAAACAAGAATGACTGAAGGATAGTGATAACTACTTGTACGTAATCTAATTTTTTTCTTTTCTTTTCTTTTCTCCTCTTTTTTTTCTTTTTTTCTTTTTTTTTTTCCCGCCCCCTAGTAGCACAGTTCCCAATCTCACTGTACCGTACAGAGTACAAAGTATCATCTCAATGTGTAATGTTTACCGCGAAAGGAACACAAGTTAATTCCTGATGTAAGGAGAAATAAGCATAGTTAATAATACCGTTTTATTGTGTAGTCTGTATTTCACAAGGCGATCAACTGTATGCTGCGGCGGGAATGAAGTTCAGCTGCTGTTCATGTAACTCGAGTAGCAATCTGTTGGTTGGCTGCTTCAATTTTCAGACCAGCATTCCGTCGTCCCAAGACTGGCTGTGCCCTCGCATGGGGTTCTGAAAAGTACCACCTCTGCTGAATGAAAATGCTTAATTAGCTTGCCTGAAATGATAGTCTGTTAAGCAACGGAGGACTCTGTTAATTCATATTTACTCTGTCGCCTGGAGGATTCAACCTCGTGATGCGAAACTTGACAAGGGTCAGGTCCACCACATCAAGCAACAACCCTTAGCCTTGGTGCTCTATTTCTTGCAGAACATTTTCAAACGGCTGTCCAGATAGCTGCATGTGACCTTCAGAATCTTTTTCTTTTCATGGTCAGATAGTTAAATACTTCTCTTGCCATCCGGCTCCCCTTTCGTCAACAAAGGTAGTTCAGTTCTTCATTGTCTAGAACGCGTTTCTTATAAAGCTTGTGGTTGTTCCTGTTGACGCCGACCTGGCCAGCCACTCCAGATACACCACCACATTTGCTTGACCGGCACAATTTTGTATCTGGTTTGTTCACTCCTGGCATGCTCATTCTATCTGCAGGTCCATAAAGGGCTTGTTAGTTCTTGGACGTCGTTATGGGGAATATTAGCAGCAGACCTGATGACCCCGCTGCCCTGTATCTCAAGGATCAAACAAAATGTGAGGCTCCAGCTCTTGCAACCCTTCATTGCGTTACATCTTCATAAGCTGACTGATTTCTCTTCTTCTGTATGCAGTGACAATAGCCTCACTCACAATCACAAATTATCGCGGGCATGCTATTCTACATATTGGTCCCAATGGCTTCCCCGCAACTCGCGTCACGGCAAAGAGAGACACAGGGGATGACACACCAATTGAATTTGTCCTTGTATGTTTGAATGAGAAAATTCTATCCATAGTCATCTTTCCAGGAGATTTCCTTCCAGTGCTAACTCGTGTTCTGCATGCAGGATCCAGACTCCACGACAACCAGCCAACCCTCTTTCCTCTTACGCCTATCAAATGAAGATGAATTGACGTTCAAATTTTCATTCATTATCCGACAAACCCAGATCCCTCCAGTTACTACCTCAACCATAAATGGAGTCGCGAGCACATTGCCTGAAGCTATTGATACAACACTGAAGGGAGTCACATTTGCGCATGCTTCAAACTCAAAAGAATTGGACAACCTCATCACGCGAGAATTCCACGCCAATCCAAATCTTCAAAACAACTCAAACGTCCAGCATGTTGGTACATTTTCAACTGAGGGCAGCCCTTCGATACAGTTTGACTGGTCTTGGAAATGGAAGCCACCCAAACGGGCAGAAGATAGAGGTGGTGGCTGGAGAAACTGCTGTAGTTTTCTTGACTACGATGAACGAACGAATAGGTTGAACACGCTTGCGACGTTTACCTTTTGGGTTCAAAACGCGACTCGACCGTTGTCAAGTCCCGTAGTGCTGTCGCCGCGGCTTGAGTTGGCTGTTCCACCACGTAACCGCACCGTTTCTTCACAATCAGTAATGTCGAAGGGGAGTGAGCTGGAGGCGCTGGGTGATGTACCCCAATCGCCAATCGAGACTGAAAGCCTACTAGGCGGTGCTGCGCCCGCAGTGCCAGTGAAGTTAGACATCTGTCAACGTCCTGGAGAGGATATGAGCGCAGTAGAAGACGGTCCGCTTTTCCGCGCGACGATGAAAGCCCTTGAACAAAAAACAGGAAACATGCGAACTAAGATGAAGAAACTTCTGAAAAAAGCCGAAGCGGTGCATCAAAGACAGGTTGCTTACAATGAATCTGTCAGCGCATTCATTATTGCCCTCAACGAAGCATCGACTTCCAACGCCAATGCAATTCAGCCAGCTCTGGAACATTATTTCGACAAGATCGCAAAGGAAATCTTGATTTGGGAGCAACAGAATTCGACGAATCTTCAGAAGCTGATCATTGACCCGCTCACTAGACTGTACAACAACGATATAAAGCAGGCTGAGTCGAAGAAAAAAGATTTTGAGGATGAGAGTAGAGATTATTATGCCTATGTTGGACGCTATTTGGGACAGCGTCAGGACTCGCTTAAGGAGAAGAAAAGAGCAGAAAGCGATTCAAAATACCAAACAAAGCGGAGAAACTTCGAGCTAAAGCGATTCGACTACTCTTCTTTCATGCAAGACCTTCACGGGGGCCGGAAAGAGCAAGAGGTGCTGTCTCATCTCACTAAGTATGCCGACATCCAAGCCCGAAGTTACCTTTCTACGGCAAAGAAAGTCGAGGAAATGCTTCCACAGCTTCAGGCGTTGATACACGAGGTTTCTGAAGTTGATAAAGAGTTCCAGTTTCAGCGAACAGAGCGTGAGGAGAAGCGGAGAGCTCTAGAGCAAAGCACTAAGAAATATATCGAACCTGAGGGCGTTCAAAATAGCAGCGCGCCACCCACCACCCCCAACACTGCTCCCTGTACCTCTGATTCCGAATTGGGTCGCGCAGATAGCACCGGCTCTCAGGCCAGAGGACCAGTTAGCAACAGAGGCTCCTTCTCTTCGTCTTCCAACACCACAGCTGCTGCGATGACACCCTCTGGCCAGAATCGGTTCAAAGGAATTCGTGATTTGGAAGAACGTGACCACTCAAACACCAGCATGGATAAAGCGAATATGCAGCAGAAGAAAGAGGGGTTATTGTGGGCGTTGTCTCGTCCCGGTTCACACATTGACCCAAAGGGGATAAACAAACAAGCTTGGCATAAGTAAGCCCCCCCCCTCTACTCAGGCTGGTGCGTGGAGAACATGGAAGAATCACACTTTTAGATGAGGTTTCATGGGTGTCCTGAGACAAATAGGCTAATATTGATTGTCTAGGTTTTGGATTGTCTTGGATCAGGGGAAGCTTTCGGAATACAGCAATTGGAAACAGAAACTAGATCTACACATGGATCCTATAGACTTACGGATGGCATCTGTTCGAGAAGCGAGGAACGCGGAGCGGCGATTTTGTTTTGAAGTCATCACGCCTCAGTTTAAGAGAATTTACCAAGCTACATCTGAAGAGGATATGGGAAATTGGATTATGGCGATTAACAATGCTTTGCAAAGCGCTGTCGAGTCCGGACGAGGTGTTCCCCCACCACCCACTTCAGATGGGGGGTCCCGTAAGGATATTGGGTCTGCCTTAATGGGCAAAACCACTTCATCATCCAACACAAGCAACGTGAGCCGAAGAACGACTGTTGGTGCCCGCCCAAGTTACGTTCGGAATGACAGCAGCTATGAGGATAATCCATCCAAGTTACTCCAGGTCATTCGGGAAGCGGATCAGGGAAATAACTGGTGCGCTGACTGCAATTCAGCATCGAAGGTTGAATGGGTTTCCATTAATCTTGGAATCGTGCTTTGCATCGAATGCAGTGGTATTCACAGATCTCTTGGGACTCATATTTCCAAGATCCGCTCCCTTACGCTAGATATTCACTCGTTTTCTAATGACATTGTCGAGATATTGTTGCAGATTGGGAATAGGGTCAGCAATATGATATGGGAAGCCACCTTGAATCCAACCCACAAACCAACAGCACAATCGTCTCGCGACCAGCGGTTGAAGTTCATTACGGCAAAGTACAGCGAAAGAGCATTTGTGCGCCCGTTATCATCTACGCTTTCGCGCTATGGAACAGCAGATGAGACACTTCTCGCTTCTATCAAACAAAATGATATTCAAGGCGTCCTTTATGGCATTGCCCTGAGGGCAAGTCCCAATGCAACTGATCGGTCGCGAAACACCCATGCGGTGTTCTTGGCCCTGGCAGCCGCCGATCCCGCGTCTCCGTCGCAGTCAATGACCTCAATCTCCACCTGGACAAAATCCGCGCCCCATCCCCCAACAGGCATTAAAGCGATTCCTTTCCCAATCGCAGAGCTCCTGGTTCAAAATGGAGCAGATATCCCTGCTGAGATGCCGGCGATCCCACTATCACCAGCTGCGCAACTATATGTCAACCAGCGGACAGGAAGAGCTTTGGGAAGCGGTAACCCGACGGCGAGTCCTGGAGGCGATACGCTGAGCGCATTACCGACAATCCGCGATTTTGGGAGTGGAGGTAACGGCCTTATGCCTTCCCCGGCCGAGATGAATAACAAGGAACGGGAAAGGCTGCATAAACGCGGGAGTGCCGGAGCCCGGTTTGCGGGGAAAGTGACTTCATTCGGAAGTTAAATTTGCTTTCCTTATCAGATGTTTTCTACACGATAATGTTTTCGATGGCAATAATGACTACGACTGTATGCTGGGCGGGAACTTGAACGGCTTGCACTTCCCGGTGGGTTTGGAAGGCATTGCTGGACCCTTTCCACTTGATTTTTATGCTTCTTAATTCTTAAGGATGAAGGCCTCAGTGTTAACTTTAGTCCTTTATCTCCTTTTCATTCTTCTTGCCGCTACTCATGGCAGCTAGCCATGAAGATCCCAAAAGTGGCCCTTTGCTTTCTTCCTCTATTCCGCTATGTTGTTATAATTTCTCCTCCTTGTACTGTGAAGCGAGCCAAGCTCTGCGAATGACCCTGGACCAGTTTTATCCTTTCATGATTCTTTTGCCATCATTTTTCTACAACTCCAAGTGTGTGTATGGGTTAATAATAAATAATGATGATAATGACTCATTTGTCTTGTAGCTTCACCATAGCATCCATATCTTGCAAAACCACGCCCATGTAGCCAGGCTTTCTGCATTTACTTGATGGTTAGGCACCAATGATGCATCAGACTCAAGATGTGAATCTTGATAAGATCTGATGTGAGGCATTAACAGAAAGAGACAAAGATAAATGTATTTGTTCAAGAATCTGTCTGATGCCATGTGTTTATGGGGTTGTGGTTACTCCCGTAGTTAGAACAAGCAACATAAGAAGTCCAGAGTGATGGAGGACTTGTATGCTTGTCATTCACTAAGCTATCTAAAGGGGAATCTTGGCTAATCTATGTGGGTCATGTGAGCAAGGTGCTAGTTGGATTACCTAACACCCCCCCATGCAATGAGCTCCAGCAGTGAGTAAGAGCCACAAAGATTCAAAGCTTCCAAATCTCTCAAATCTGTGATAAAAATTAATTACAGAATCCAGATTTATTCCTTCTTTAGGCTTAGCTCTGTTTCACTATGATATTGTATTTTTGCTGGCTTTACTGATAAATCTCCATATTTTCCTGTATCAACTTGTCACCTCTATCATGCTCATGAATTGAGTATAGAGATCCATTGCAAGAGTCTTTATGAGTCTGTCAGCTTTATTCATGTTGGTTCTAATGTGCTTGATTGAGATTTTGTTCTTTTGAACCCAGTCTCTTAGTATATGGTACTGAATCTCAATATAGTGTGCTCTTTATATTATAGCTTCAGTTTTGGCTAAGTCAACCACTCTCTTGTTGTCAACACTTAATTTTGAGCTTCTTAGCTTTACTGAGTCTTTGCTAATCACTCTGGTGTTTATCAACAGGTTGTTGATCCAAACTAGTTCACAAGCAGCTTCACTAGCTGCCAAATACTCTGCTTTGGTTGTTGATTTTGAGACAGATATCTGATGCTGTGATCTCCACAATATTAGAGCTTCATTCATGATAATAATATAGCCACTGGTGAATTTGTATGCAGGGTTGACTCCAGTTCAGTCAGAATCTGAACTGGTTACTGGTTTCAAGCCTTCAGAATCCATATCTCTTTTGAAGATTATTTCTTTTGATTTTGTGCTCTTGAGATAGTGTAGAATCTGCTTGAATGCTGCCCAGCTTTCTCTATTAAATCTGCTGTTGAATCTTGTCAGATAATTGACTGCAAATACAATATCTGGTCTTGTACACATAACTAGAAACTGTAGAGAGCCCAGGCCTTTCCTGTAATTTATAGATGTAGCCTGCTTGTCAACTTTATCTTTGAGAGTCTAATCTAGTATGAATTTGATGCTTATTCCTTTCTTTATTAGTGTTTTGGAAGGTTTACAGTCTTCTATTCCATATTCAGTCAGTAGATTCTTGATATACTGTTTCTGGTTCACAAAAAGGTCTCCATTTGACTGCTTTTGAACCTGCATGTCTAGATAATGGCCTTGTTCTGTAACCTTCTTGATCTTGAAGTATTTCTAAAGCTTCTCAATAAGCTATTTTATTTTAGCTTTGTTGGGTCCCATTATACAGCAGTTGTTGATGTGTAGAGTTAGATAGATTTGCTTTCTCTTGTGATAAAGTAACCTCACATTATATAAAGAGATCTGGAATTCTAGAGATTTCAGATAGTTAGTAGCTGCTTGATACCAAAGCCTAGTGTAGTGAGAATTCTAGAACAAAGGTTGTTCCAGTCTGAGGCACAAACCACCCCAAAGCTACTATTCTTGAGCTATATAAACCACCTGTAGCCCCTGCATCTTGCTTATTACCTTCACACACCATGGCTCTTTTCTACACACTTGTTCCTTACTACCAGTTCAGTTATTAGTTAGAGAATATGAAGATTTCTTGTTTATGAAACTTGCTACTGTTTCTTATTAGAGCTGTCTGTATTAGTACAGAGCTCTTTAATACTATTACTTCTTGCAAGCTTAGGTGTCTGTTAGAACATATCTATCTCTACACTTACTACTTGATCATACTCTTACTATATGGTGATTTTTCACCTTTCTTGTGCTCTCACCATATCAACCAACTTACCTACTTTGACAAGGCATCCCATCATACCCCACTCCATTTGGTGACCAAGCTGAGACCTGAAGATAATAATATGGTGATTTGGTGACTGCTAAGAAAGAGAAAAACAAATTCTAAGACACATAAAGCAATACACTATTTCAAGATAAGATCTTATGGACTAGAAACACAGTACTAATCAGTTTTTTTATTTAGAAATAAGATTAGGGAGCTTAGATTTAAATACCTCTTATCTAGAGCTTGTCTGATAAACAGGTTTTTGAAAGATATTGACTAATAGACAGAACATACTGTGTGACATGACCAAAGATTAAGAAACTAAGAAATCAGAATCAGAATCAACTATAGCTGAAGGTACTACTGGAGTGGGGTACAATGGAATGCCTTGTCAAAGTAGGTGAGTTGGTTAATATGGTGAGAGCACAAGAAAGGTGAAAAATCACCATATAGTAAGGGTATGGTTGAGTAGTAAGTGTAAAGATAGATATATTCTAACAGATATCTAAGCTTGCAAGAAGTAATAGTACTAAAGAGCCCTGTACTAACACAGGAAGCTCTAATGAGAAACAGTAGCACATTTTATGAACAAGAAATCTTCATATTCTCTAACTAATAGCTGAACTGGTAGTAAGAAACAAGTGTGTAGAAAAGAGCAATGGTGTGTGAAGGTAATAAGCAAGATGCAGAGACTACAGATGATTTATATAGCTTAAGAATAGTAGCTTTAGAGTGATTTGTGTCTCAGACTGGAACAATCTTTATTCTAATGAGATACTGGAATCCCCACTACATTTTCTTCTGATCTTTAATGTTGGTGTCCCCTGACAACAAACAACATATAAAATAAAACAAAACCAATTTAGTAAAATAAGAGAATAATAAATAGTAATGAGCAGTCTGGTAAGGAAAAACATAGAAAATAAGAATAAGAAGAGTGATAGTAACAATCTCTAATAGTGATCACCATGATTCTCTTCTTTCATCAAGTTCTCAGAAGAAGGAGAAGACTGAACTGACACTGGATCAATATTATTGTGCATGCAATGCCAATAGAATTTATTACCAAAAGCTTTCTTTTCAATTTAGTAAGTCTTAACAATAGTATTCAGAGCAATTCATGTGGCCTTTAGATATCAGTTATTAATGAAGTCCTGAGCCTTTTTGTTATCAGGACTAAAGAGAATATTGAGTTCCTCAATTACCATGAGGTTGTTCCATCTAATTTATCCTACCAGAGCATTTGATATAGCTCCTAAGCCTTGTAATTGAATAGTGGTAGGGAATTAATATGAAACCAATGCATAATGATTTGAATGGCCAGATGGAGACAAAGGCTCTGGAACTAGATCTCTATATGCAGCAGAGAGCTGGAACCATGTACCAGCTTTATTGACTTCTAGATGTTCATGATTCTCTTGAATTGCCACATACCAGAGTAGCATAGTGCATTGGACCTTTTTGCATGGACCATAGGCTTCATGAAGTAGCAGAGGGCTTGTAATTCAGATATTATCAGGTTTGCAAATGATGTTGGTTCACCTAATATCAAATTTTCTTTTGTTGTCTTTAGTATACATTGTATCTTTAATGTGGTGAACATAGCTATTAGTGAATAAGTCTTGTTCTTTGACTAGTTCTTACTAATCTTCTAGATAGTTATGCATTTCTGGCAAGATTTCTGTACAGTTGCCAGGCTCTTCTGCAGTTAAGGTCAAGAATTCTTGTATTATGTTAACACCTCTTCCAGTAGTAATAGCATCTGGAACATTGATATCAATATGGTGAAACCCAGTTTTATCCCCTGGCTTAGCATACTTGGTGTAGTATGAATAGAAGATTAATTTCCAAGCATGATCAGGTCTTGTCAGTATATATTATAGATAGTATACAGGGTTCTGGCACATAAGTTGTTGACCAATACTGTGATACATTGTTCTCAACTATCTGTAATTGTTGTGACCTCCCATTATTCACTAATAATAGTAGTACATGTTGTATTTGCTGTTGACCTGGATAAGTACTGTAGTGGTGGCATCTTGTAACTTATCATTCCACCAGCACATTAGCTGGAAAATAACAACAGATTCAGTTGTTTCCCATTTCTTCTGAAGATCACTGGTGGTGAACTTGTTAACTCCAGTTATTCATATGTATCAGTTGAAGTTAAATGTTCTCATATTTGTGACCAGAGGAATAATTGACTGATGTTTGAATTTGTAAATGTCTAAAGCATCTTCAGTTCTAGCTGGTCTATTTGCCAAACAGAATCAGAGATAGGTGCTGTCATCAGTCTTGACTGAGCTAATGTTGCAACAATTTCTATAAATATAAGTCAAACAGTTAAGAAGCTTCTCCCTATTAAGTATGCAAGTCTGTAAACCAAGTTTTGAAGCTATTAGTTTAGCATAGTCATAATATAGATAGATGTCAGCTTTCTTATCACTAAAGGCCTTTTCTAACTGCTCCAGAATGCAAATAAGCTCCAACTTCAAACACATTTTAGTACTCTTTATCTTTTGGAGAAGCTGCTGTTTGAAACTACAGCAACAGCAAGTATCAGAATGTACTGTCATGACAGATTCTTCTCATTCATGTCAGGGTATTTTCTCATCACTTTCAGGAGAAATAACAGACTCATCTTTATTGTCTAGGTCTTGAAGAGTTTGGTGTGCTGACATGACTGTAATTCTTTTACTGCAGTGCTTTGGAGCTTCTGATTGGCTGGATGGATTGATCAGTGTGCTGGTGAATCCAAATGGTGGCTGTAATTGGCCAGTTTCCAATTCACATGATCTAATCAATATTGTACTATGTATAGAGGCTTCTGATATATTGTGGCTATGCAGCATCAATATTCCACCCATTAGAATATCTCTTGGTGATCTTGATGACTGTAGTTCTTCTAGTAGATCTCAGAGGCTGCTTGCAGTGGGAGGGCTCCTAGCAATATCCTGAATTAAATATTGGGAGCTAGATGACTG